GAGACTATGTCTCAAAAAAAAAAAAAAAAAAAAGTCCAGAGGAGTCGGTCCAGGGCCGTTGCCTTGAGGCTGCCTCCCAGGAAACAGGTTCCTTCTCTCCCTCTGCTCTGTCCTTGAAGTGCACTCCTGACCCCATACCAGGTCACAAAGTGGCGGCTCTGTCCCAAGGTGTCATGTCATATCCGCATTCAAAGCAAAAAGAAAGGAAGGAGCAAAAGCCAAAAGCCTTTCAGAGAGAGCTCATCTTTTCATTTAAGAAGGAATCCCTCCTCAGAGAATTCAACCTGTGTTTCATTGGCCAGATCTCTGCTACTTGGCCTCCCAGAGCAAAGGGGGCTGGGAATTTGAGAGTTGTTTTCTAGCCTTGATAATGAAGACGGGAAGGGGAAAGTGAGTTGGATGGGTGTTGAATGAATCAATTTATATAGCACCTGCACAAATAACCTACACAGTACTCTGCTCAGTTACATTAAGCAAAGTACATGCATAGCTGGGCTCCCATTGAACAAATTTCAATGACCGCTATATAATCCTCTCCCTTAACTAACTACATGACCTTTGAATTGTTTCCCCAAAATGATGGATTTTCTGCCAGACAATGAAGCTGAGATTCCGAAGTCCCCAGGGCAGACTCCCTGATGCCAAGATTCACCATCCCTCCCAACCTGCCCGCAATGCATGTAGCCTCGCCTTCAAAAGCCCATCATCTCCCTTAGTCAAGAGGCAGAGAGACGGGTTTGAGGCAGCTTCTCCCATTCTCCCAGCAAGACATCTGTCATATGAAAAATTCCTTTCTTCCTTGACGGTCCTCATCTCAATAATTAAATCTTTGTGTGACAAGCAACCAGACCTAGACTGAAACCCCCTTGTGGTTGCGACAACAAAAGTTACTATCCTAGCCTAGAGGGCTCACAAGATCTAGTCCTTTCTTTCTGGCCTTATATCTCTGTACTATTCAGCCAAACATGGCTTTTTGCTATCAGCCAACCTGTTCTTCCCTTTCAGCCTCCACACTTTCGTTCAAGCTCCACGTGCTCCTGGCCCTACCCCTGGTGTAGTCAGGCTGCCCGTGCTTTGTTACTAAACCTGCATCGGTGTTAGAACAGGCGAAGCATGACTACACAGCATCAGAACTTCACCTGAAACGCGAGGGAATTTTTATTTCCCTTCCTCAAAACAATCTACGTCAAACACCAGGAAGTCTCCAGAACCCAGTGCGCTAGGTTCCTTCTACCTTGTTGCTCTGCTATCTTTCGCATGCAGTTTCCGGCTTATAAAATCATGACTGCCCCAGAACAGCACAGAGTAGGCACAAAGAAATGACAGAGACTTGGGCTGAAGCGGAGGAAAGGATTTCCACATCCTAAGTAAGCTGCATTAACGAAAGTGCTTTCCACGTGCCCCTTCCGATCGCAGTTAACAGTTCTGCCCGAGCTCCGCTGGATGGCAGCACGTACATGCACAAAGCGGGCGGACGCGACACGGCGAAAGACGCCGAACGTTAAGCTCCGAAAGAGCCTGGACTACAAATCCCAGCTTGCACTATGAAGCGCCTGACTGACTTCTGCACGAAGGTCTGAAGTTTGGAAGATCCTGAGGACGCCATCCGCTCGCTGCTTTAAAGTAAGATTTCCTAATCGTTTTTAAATGAAACTTTGGACTGGAGAGAGGGGGAGGCTTAATTTCGAGATGTTGCTTTGTTATGAAATTTGCCCATTTCAGGATTAATCTTAGAAGTTAGATCAGGATAAACTTGGGTTTTTAACGAGTTTGAAACTCTGGCATGTTTATAAGTTTTTCACCAAAGAAACAAGGATGTTTACAGTATCCACGTGGACATTTTTCTTCCTGTCTCATGAAAACATTTAGAATTTCTGAACATGCGCTATTTGTGTCTCTGCGAATCAAAAATTAACATGCTGATTACAATATTTAGAGTAAGAACGCCATGGATTTATTAAGAGTTGCCTCGTTTTGCCATTTTAAGTTGCTTGCAGTCATTTTTCCAAAAAAATTCGTTTTAGTTTGAGAATGCAGTTTATCTAGTGTTAAGGCTTTGGCCCTAAAATCTGGTCCCAGAAAGACAGAGACCCGCTAAGGGTTCAGAGTGAGCAAAAGGGTTGCTTTCTGCTTCCGCAGTTCTTCAAGACGTGCTTCTTTGGGGGTCAAAGATTCCTGGCTAAACCTTTGACAGAGGCCTGGACTGCGGCCCCGCGGGGCGAGCCCGGCGGGGAGGGGGGGCCGGGTCTTCCGGCAACGCGGCCGTGGCGAGCATGCGCACTCGGTGCCGGCGCAGCGCGGCGCCTGCAGGGCGGCCTCCCGCAGACTCCGCAGCAGCGGCTGCGTTTGATCCTGCCACGCCCTTTGCATGATTTCTTCAATCCCCGTCGCCTGTAGGAGTAACTAGCCCTTCAGTATGTGGAACTTGGACCAAAGTGTGCAGGCTTAAAAGAAAAAAAAAAAAAAGAAGAAGAAAAGAAGAAAAAAGAAAGACAGGGGGTAGGGGGAAGGGCGGGGCACAGGGGCTCCCACTTGTGAGTCCAGCGCTCTGGGAGGCCAAGGGGGGAGGCGCCCTTGAACCCTAGAGTTTGAGGTTGCAGGGAGCTGTGAGGACGCCACTGCACTCCAGCCTGGGCGACAGGCTGGAGTTTTTGAGACCCTGTCTCAAAAAACAAAACAAAAAAACAACAAAACTGAAAAAACAAAAAAACTTTTAGCTCCTATACCTCACATCCACAGACTGCTAAAAATAAAATAAAGCCGTAGAGAATGGAGATAAAATTCAAAAGAAAGGATAGATAGTATGAGCCGTCTGGACAAGGCTAGCTTCCTGTACTCCATCAGGAGGCAGTTAGAGCGATTGTGCAGGCCGGTTGTGCATGTGTAGTACTCAGTTGGTTCACTCAACACTCTCGAAATCTCTGTCCCCCTGCTTTTCACTTTGTGGGGGCTGGCCTCGCCTCGCTTGCTGCTGGAGCTGCTCAAGTGTCGCAGAGGTGGGCAATGAAATGTAGGTAAGACTTTCTGGGGAGGGCTTCCTCCTTTTTGAATAGAAAGGCGAGCCCTCCCGGAAAGGCCTTTTGGCTTCTGCTCCTCCCTTTCTTTTTGTGTGGAATGCAGATCTGATGCCCTGGGACCGAGCAGCCACCTTGTGAGCTGGTGTAAGGTCAGAGGCACACGTCAAGGACGGAGCTGAGCAAGAGCAGGAACCTGTGTCCTTGAAGACAGCCTCATTGGGTGTCATTTTACTCTTCCCCGGCCCCAGCCGCATCACCAGCCCTTCCTCTCGCCCTGTGATCTCTCACCGAACGCAGGCATTGACCAATTATCCTGTGCACATCACATTTCCCCTATGTCAAGAGCTTCTCAATCTCCCCCTTTTGGAAATTACTGATTACGTTTTGTTAAAGTGTTACTACTGCGTGTTTAAACTTTAAAAGAGGATTAGAAGCATTGTTCACATAGCAAAAGAGTGAGGAAGTCTAAGTTTAGTTCCGGCTCTGCCGTTGACTGGCTTTACGACCTTGGGCAGGTCCAAGAAGTGTCCTCAAGTGTTAAACGAGGGTATTGGACACGATTTGATTTCCATCCCTTTTGTTCAATGAATCGCTGAAGCCATCTATGAAATCTTTTCAAGGGACAAGAAGAGCCATAAGGGATTGATAGTGCAAACCTCAACAAAAGTTTCCGGAAGGTTAATCAAGACGCAGCCCTGAGTAGTGAGGACACAGGCGATGCCACAGCAATGTGTGTGGGGGCGGTGGGGAGGGCGGTGGTGGTAGTGAGCACCGTGTTAGCGCCAGAGGCTGTCCTCTCCGGGTACCGAAGGAAGCAAAGGTGAGCTGAAGTCCGGTGCCCATCGTGCCGGCCATCACGTCAGTGGGTTATGCTGAGTGTTTTTGATGTTCAGTGCTGGGTATCTGGAGTAATCATTCTGGAGGATTCCGATGATGGGACTACTCGCGCAGAGGTGCTGTCTTCAAGTTCTTAAAGGAGCACGTTGAACTGTCCATTCTAAGTGTTACTGCTTGCACAGGACCACGCGCTACAGTGTAACCCATTAAAGTCACTTGTCCTTAGATTAAACCACAGGTTCCACTATGGGTCGACTTGATGGGAAAGTCATTGTCCTGACGGCTGCTGCTCAGGGGATCGGGCGAGCAGCTGCCTTAGTAAGTTATTATCTTTGTTGTTTGCTTATTAACTTTCGAGGTATTAAATTATGTGGGTTTATGCCATGGTTATTTAATTCTAGTCTACATTTTTTCACTTTTTACTTTTTTGCTTCTGTTGTCTTAAGTTACAAAATAAACAGATAAGTCCCTACTGACCCCCAGGCAGATGAAGGAATGAATACCTCACATGTTTATTGTGTGACATCAGTAATAACCTTTGACTCTGAGAAATTTATTTTTCTGCCTCAGTTTCTCTGCATCACTATAAAGTTACTGCAGGGGCCTTCCAGGGGTGCATAGTGTTCTGAAATCATGTCAGTTGAGATATAGGGTGCCAGAGTTATGAGATGGTCAGATGACCTTTGTCTCCTGGTTTATGTCAATTTTTCCCACTTTATATCCCCCACCTGAGCTCATGATGCACCTTAAGTATAATAGAAAGCTACAGCTTGACATTTGTGAAAGCACAAGTATGCTCTTAGGAGGAAAAGTACTGAAATAACCCATTTTTCTCTTATTATTTGGAGTTTAGTCACCTGCTCAGAAATGCATATAGTCTTTCATCACAGAATAGCAGTATTTTGAGAGATGTTAAAAACAGAATTATGGCTTTTAAAAAACACAATTTTGTTTGATATTATTTAAAGGGACAAAGTGAGCACAAGCATCACTCCAACATCAAAGGACTTCAGTTACAGCTACCCTGAAAGCACAATGTATGTCATGTTCTAATTAATGATAAAAAGAAATAAAAATTGTAACAGTGGGACAGGAATGACACTAAATAGTTTGAAATTCCACCTATTTTATAGGGAAAAAAAACAATGGAAATAAGATAAAGGGGAAAAGGGCCAAATGACTTTCTATTCATGGGAGCAGTTTAATCAGGTAAACAAAGGATTTATTTGTACTTTGTGTCTACCAGGCTTTTGCAAGAGAAGGTGCCAAAGTCATAGCCACAGATATCAATGAGTCCAAACTGCAGGAACTGGAAAAGTACCCTGGTAAGCAACTTAGCAACTTGAACTTGAGATTCAGAATCTGCAAGGTATTATAAAGCACTGATACTCACGTGTCAAAAGCAACGTCCTTAGCTACTTAGCTGCGCTGGCCTTCTCTTTATATTCTGACTCTCTGATGTCAAATCTATATTCTGTGAACCTACACACAAAAATCTAATGAATTTAAATGTGTAAAAAAATTTGAAGATGTATATTTAAATTTTTTCATTTAGCCAACATGTTGAGGGATTCAGTTCCTAGTTACAAAGTTACATGTGAAAATTTAACAATTGTTTTGTTAACTTTTGCCAACAACTTTTCACTTCTGTTCCTTCCTCCTCTAGTCCAATAGTAATATGATGTGAGCCCCTTGTGTAATTTTAAGTGTTCTAGTAGCCACATTAAAAAAGTGAAAAGAAACAAGGTAAAATTAATTTTAATAATATATTTTATTTAATCTATCTAAAATATCATTTCAACATGCACTTAATATAAATAATTATTAATAGAATATCTTATATTCTTTTTTATACTAATCTTTTTATGTAAACTATTAGAACTTTATTACAAGCCTCCATCATTAATTTTCTCTTCTTTTCAGCTATATTGAGTTATAATTGACAAATAAAAATTGCATATATTCAAGGTATACAACATGATGTTTTGATTATACATTGTGAAATGGTTTTCACAGTCAAGCTAATTAACACATCCATGACGTCATATGGTTACCTTTGTGTGTGTGTACGATGAGAATATTTAACATCTACTCTCTTAGGAAATTTCAAGTATACATTATTATTAACTACAGTCAATATGCTGTAGTTAATATTAATTTAGTAACTAGTACAGCTGTACATAAGGTCTTCAGAACTTACTCATAACTGCAAGATTGTACCTTTGACCAATATCTCAACATTTTCATACTAAATCTTTAAAATCCATGTGTGTTTATGCTTCTACCACACTTCAGTTCAGACTAGCTGTATTTCAAGTGTGTGATAGCCGCAGGTGTTTAGTAGCTACACGTTGGAGACAGCTCAGCCCTAAAATCACACATATCGATGAGAAACCTTGAAATTACCCAAATTATTTGGGTGTGCACCACCACTTCTGCACACGCTGACCCTGACTTCAACATCAAAGGACTTCAGTTACAGCTACCCTGAAAGAAATCAGAACAGGCAACCCATTTGCAAGATCACTGTTCCAGCCAAATAGAACAGGTTACATAATCAGCACAACTTTGTCCCTTGAATTAGTTAACTGGATTAGAATAAGTTAAATTCTAATTCCAACAAGTCAAAATAAAGCTGCTGTACTGGGAAAGCGCAAAGGTAAAGAGGTGTTTCTGAAAGAAAATTTCAGTCTTCCCTTTCTTTGTTTATTAACCTTTTCTTTCTATATCCAAAAAGTGAATAAACCATATATTTTTTTAAAATGCTGCTTTTACTAGAGAATGTTCAGGGTTTTTCAGTAACTAGTACAGCGTGAATCTCTCATCTTATGTCTAGCCTGCAAGTGTGTTTCGTTCCTTGTTCTGATCCCCTTGCTTCTTCTTGCAATTTAAATTTAGTCCAGAAATATGTGCTGACACCTTTGACTGACAGAGTGATTTCTAATAAATAATGGGAATGACATAAAGGTGAAGCTCCCACAGCCCCTGCCCTGCCCCCAGCCCTCAGACAAAATTCAGATGACGGTACAGGCACCAGCAACGCCATCTCTGGGAGAAGGCGTAGGCTGAAGGGGCCACTTCCAGCTGTCGCTGCTGCTCACTGAGAAGCATCTGTAGACAGTCGCACTTCACTGCAAAGTCATTACTCAGAAAGGTCCCTTGTTCCTCAGCTTACTAAGTGGACACACGGGGAGGAAGAGGGGCGGTGCATTATCGGGGGGTCAGGATGGGACTTTATAATGAGATTCTGCCGATTCTTGAGACCCTGGTAATTAGGTCAACAGCCCTATGAAGCCTAACTGGATGGATGCTACAGTCTTCACACTTCATACTTCAAAACAGCCAATCTTCAAAGCTAAACGTTTTTTATGCTTATAGGTAAATAATGTCTTCTGTTTTATTTTTCAGGTATTCAGATTCGGGTCCTTGATGTCACAAAGAAGAAGCAAATTGATGAGTTTGCCAATGCGGTTGAGAGACTTGATGTTCTCTTTAATGTTGCTGGGTAATTTATAACTTTTTTATTTTACTTTCCTTGTAGAAAGTTGTCTGTGACTTTTATTAAAAGAATTTTGATAATATGGCAAAATTATTCACTGTGAACCATGATATATTCCTTGGGAAATATGGCTAGAATTCAGATGGCATTTGTATCACACGTAAGATCCAGCAAGTGAGACAGCTCTAGAGGTTGAAATGATTTGGGCAGGTGAGGTCTACTCAAGACAACTGGTACTGACACAAAGCTGCATCACGTGTCACCAGGTATGGAAATTAAATTAAAGCAGTCATTTCTGATGATCTATTTCATAAATAATCTGCCCATCCTCATATAAGAATATACCCAGAGACCTAAAAAAAGAGTTAGCGAAGTTAGTTTTTGAGCTACTATTGAATATTCAGCAGTGTAGGGGATGTGGAAATACAGTGCGTGGTGCTTGCTGTCAGGAAGCTGACATTCGGGCCGAACCGCAAGAACTGTGGTGCATGGGAAGCACGGTCAGCAATATTTTATAATTAATTATGTCATTAATTTAGTCCAGAGGACCAAATCAATAGGGTTCCAGTGTTTAGGCAGCTTCCTTCGGGAAGTGTGACCTCAAAGAATGAAGGTCATTTTAAGGGTTTGTTTTGTTCAGCCTTAACGTCTCTTATATAATATACTAACATCTCTAGGTGTGTTAGAACTACACAGTAGCAATTTTTCTTCACTGCTCTGAGATGTTGACACTTATTTTCCCTGCAATTTTGATCTCCCTTCGGAATGCTGACGCTATGCCACCCGAGGGCACTGTTGCTCTTGAAATAGGAGTCAAATAAGGCAGCTGTCCCGTCCTCATTTATTCGTATGTTTTTAAGGGCATTGATGTTTCCACCACAGTTGATACAGAGCTTCCTATGTTTGATGATCCCAAATTCTTGCTTTCTTGTCAAAGAAGGATGTTGTTTTCAGATGGCATGTTCTAGCTTAAGTTGTTGGTATTTTTACTAACCTAATGTACTAAGTAATACTACGTTTGAATTGTTTAAAGTCTTGATAAGCCAGACAATGGATTAAATCAATAAATGACAATAGAAATGATCAGCAAATGGAAATTTTTAATGACAATTTCCCCCCCATTGTTTAATCGCATTTCCAGTTTTGTCCATCATGGAACTGTCCTGGACTGTGAAGAGAAAGACTGGGACTTCTCGATGAATCTCAACGTCCGCAGCATGTACCTGATGATCAAGGCGTTCCTTCCTAAAGTAGGACGACCACCACCGCTAGGATGAGCACTGCATTAGGTCTCTTCACACTGGGCACCCAGAAAGGGTCCCCACGGGTGCTAACATAATCACTAACATGCATTGAACATTTATATCAAGGCATTTAACATAAATTAATTCACTTAACCTTCCAGCTCATCCATTCGAGGAATATATATATATATATATATATACACACACATATATGTATAATTTTTTTTTTTTTTTTTTGAGATAGAGTCTCACTCTGTTGCCCAGGCTGGATTGCAGTGGCATCGTCATAGCTCACCGAAGCCTCAACCTCCTGCCTCAGCCTTCTGAGTAGCTGGGACTACAGGCACCTGCCACCATGCCCAGCTAATTTTTCTTATTTTTTTGTAGACATGGAGTTCACTGTTTCACTGAGGCTGGGCTGGAACTCCTGGGCTCAAGGGATCCTCCTGCCTTGACCTCCCAAAGTGCTGGGATTACTGGCGTGAGCCACCGCGCCCAGCATTCAGGGAATATTTATTAAGCACTTTCTACGTGCCAGGCTCCATTTGAGGCAAAGAAGACACATCAGTGAACTAAACAAAGTCCCTTTTACGAGGGAGGCCCCCTTATTGGGAGTGAGAGAGGATAATAAGTAATTGAATAGACATATAATATATGGCGTGGTTATAAGTACTATGAAGAAAAAGAAACTGGGATATCAGTGAGGCCCTCCAGGGCCTTGCTGGAGAAGGTGAAATTTTCATAGCGATTCGAGTGAAGTGAGGGAGCTGGTCATTCAGGTGTCTGGGGAGAGGCTTCCAGGGAAAGGGACCAGCAAAGAAGCGTGTGGGACTGGAACGATCCCATGAGGTAGGTACTGTTTTATCACCCACTATACAGAAGATGGAACTGGGAGGTTAGGTAACCTGCCCAAGGTCACACAACTAGCAAGTGGTTAGAACCAAGATTCAAAGCCTGGAAGTTCAGCGCCTTCATGAATCTCAGTGTCTAGGCACACACTCCCTACGTGGGCACACCCCATTGCTTTTCTCTGCCCTGAAGCTTCTCCATTTGCTCCTGTTTTTAGCTGAGCCACAGAGGTACTGGACAGGAGAGAGACAGTGTGTGCTGCTTGAGCATTCCTTCTGGGCCTGCTTCTCTCGAATTCTCAAACCTTCACACAACTCGTCAATGCTTTTGATTTTACTTCACAAACAAGCATTAAGTGCCTTTTGGTATAAAGCACTATTCAAGGTACTCTGGGAGGTATAAATATGAGAAGCATACTTGAGGAATGTCAATGACTTTGAGCTCATAAGCCAGTAGTGGCAGGAGGCGCAGGCTCGGACAATTGAAGGGGTTGACTGCGTACAGAACGAGCCCAGCTCAAAGTTGTAAACTGAACCCTAGTGAAATGCAAGGGAGCCATTTTTCCCTCCCACCCCAGCCAGACTAGATGACTGACAGCGCTGAATGCTGCCAGCCCGGAGCAGGAGAAAATGGCACAGCAGAGCTGATACTTTGCTGAATATTCAACCTAATGTCAAGAAGGATCCAGATGAGCATTAACAGGAAAATTAGAGAAATTGACTTAGTAATGAAGGAATTTTTTTTTTTTTTTTCAAATCTACTTGTTTAGTACCCAGAAGGGATCTTTGGGTGGTTCCACAAAATGTTGAACTAGCAAATTTTTAAAAATCATACATTGCCTTTTTTTCCTATTTGGAGTTTATGAGAGTCTGTATTATTTAGAACTTGAATGTAGTTTTTGAAAACAGAGCCTTAGCATAGAACATGGTAGTGGAGCAGAGGTCACGGTGGTTAAGACTGTTGCACAGGTACCGGTCTCATTTACAAAACCAGTGTACTTTCTGTCTGAAGCACTTTACAAATATTGGTTAAGGAGGTAGGGGTGGGGTACAGTGGAGTGAAATTTAAACTTGTAAGTAAGTGTCACCTTTTAAAATATACAAACAAAAACTTGCAAATTAGTGAGTTTGCCCATGATTTAAAGCATCTTAACAATGATCCATTTTGCCAATAACACACTTGTGTAAAAAAAATCCCAAGAGATATTAATGACTGGAATGTGGAATCAGAAGATTTCAGCGCTACTTGGTTAAAGTGACCTGACCAACTTGACACGGTCACCAGAAGTCCTCAGGCACAATCTGAGCTCTGTCCGTAATTGGCCGTGTGACCCGGGAGATGGCACTTGCACCCCCCGTGTCTGCTGCTTCTATCTAACAAGGAGAGCGATAGATTACACAGTCACTTCCAGCCCTGATTGTCTAAGATTCTCTGTGTCATTAACTGTGACACACACATACCAGGTTAGAACTTTCCAGGGGAAGCCAGGATTTGGAGTCCAGACAGATCTGAAAGGTCAGGTGGTCAGAATATACGAACACTTGTAGGAAATTGTTGTTCACGGATAGATACACGGAAAAGCATTCCAAGACTACCAGATAGATCAGTGAAAAGATGAGAACGAGTTGAAAACATTGTAAGAATAAGAAATAAAACTAAGAAATTTAAGATTTCTTAAATAAGAAATTATTAAGATAAATAATAATCTTAATAAAATTATTAAGATAATTTAATAAAATTAAGAAATAAAATATTGTAGAATCCAAGGTCCACTACAAGAGAAAATTCATTAGGGCAAAGAATTGGGGATGTCTTTGTTGTTTGGGTTTGTTTGTTTGTTTTTGCTTTCCCACCCACCCACCTTGCTGTATCTTAAAAGAGTCCCTAACACACGGAGGTGCTCGGCAAACATTCGAATGAGTAAATGAATCAAGGTTGTCAATCCAGGTGGTGGTCAAGCATTGAACCATCGGAGATCCAACTTGCCAGGGTTTGCCAATGTTAGCAGCTGAGCTCTGGCTGACCGGAACTGAAAGGCTGGGTCAGAGTAAGATTAACTAGATACAGCTGCAAGAACTCTTAGGGGTCTCTCTAGCCCCCACCTGAGTTTCTGGGAGATCAATCCTATATAACGTCACTATGTACCAGGCACTGCACTTTCTGGTCATACTCGCCGGAGAGTGCTGTTGTGTGGGAGACAGGAAGAGCATCACACCGTGACGGCAGGTCCTGAGCTGGGCTTGGGAAGGCAGCGAGGAAGGAGACGAGGACTGCGGGCTGCAGAAGCAGCAGAGGGACGGGGGTTGAATGGATAGTGTTAGGGGGCAGAGCTGGCATCTCCTAGGTGGCTGTATTCTAAGGTTTTGCCTCAGGAATTACTGCATTTCAAAGACTGGAGACTGAATGTACTTGGTAGCCCATCTTTATATGTTAAGTTGGGATATATATATTTCATATGTATGAAAAATGGGTTATGTTATTTGCTAAATTGGATGAGACGGAACAATCGTAAGACTTGGCTTTCAACACCATTGCACTTTACCAACATTCCTGATGTTTTTATGAGGACCCCATTTCATTATGGTCCCCTTTATTATGTAGAAAAACACAGTTGAGTTACATTTTTTTTCTCCTGCTTTCTTTCTTGAGTCAGTTGGGTCACGTCAGCCTCTGCTTGTATCCACTTGGTCCGTTCAGCACAATGCCTTGGGGTTATTTCAGACTCTCTTCTTAGATACAGTTGGTAGCCAAATATGAAAACAGAAAGAAGAATACCAGAAGGAAATACATCACCTTGGCCACCCCCGGCCTGGGTCCATCCAATCATTCGCCTTCCCCTTTCCTGCACCTCTTTTTCTGAAAGCTGCTGAAGAAACTCACCCCAACTGATTTTTTTTTTGTCTAATCCTTTACACGCCTGTTGAGACTCCTTCCTTGTAGAAACCCTTTTCTTATACTTGATTTTCATAACACATAACACACACACATCCTGGCTTGCTTGCTTCTGTTTTCTGGCTTGTGGTCTTTGGTTTCCCCCACCAGGCGTTTTAAGCCTTCGCTGCTCCCTTGCGATCCGTCGTCTCCTGCCTTGTTGTTTATGGTCCTCGGCCCAGTCAGTGGTCGCCCTGAGGACTTAGTGCCAGTAGCCAGGAATTCTCAGCTTCCTGTTTCTTCCTCCAAAACGCTGGCGGTGCCTAAGCCCACGTGCTTATGTTTTCTTGAAAACATACTTGCATGTTATAATTGACAAAGGGCAAGTGCATTTGAAAACTTTGTAATTCATAGTAGCTTTTTTCATTATGTAGTCCTTTAGATCTGGGGCAGGGCCTAGCGATCCGCATTTTAAACTAGTCCCTCGGGGGATCCTGATTCATCAACACTTACCGACTGCCTACTGTGTATACTGTCTAGGAGGACAAAACAGCCAAAGACCCTCCTCTTAATAGACTCACCCGTTAGTGGTGGAGTTCTGAAGGAGGCGTTCTTAGGAAACACTGCCCTAAAGGGGCGAGGCTGGCCTCAGTGCGACAACCGTCTCCCAGGCCCTGTCCATCCTGCCTCACCCGTCTCCTCCTCTGCTACCCACAGACATTTCTGCGGCTCTGCTCTCATCGTGCCTTTTCTGGATCCTGCACCAGCTTCCACTGGTCTCTGCATGGCACCAGAGTAATCTTCGTAATCCCCAAATCTGAGCACGTCATTCCTCTGCTTTAAACCCTTCAACGTCACCGCACTGCCCTCGGGGTAACGCCTAAGTTCCTAAATTCAGCCTCTGTTGACCTCTGCAGCCTCCTGCATTCCAGCCAGACCCCTCCCCTCCTCTCAGTTCCTGGTGGAGCTTTTATGCATGTGGAGAGGGACCCTCCTTGAAACACCCTTTATTTTTCTGACTAGTACTCTAGTGTTCAAAAGTCAGCCCACATACTTCCTTCTCAGGAGGTCCCCTCTGCATGTCCCCCCACTTGAATTGGTCTCTTCTTGCCCCAGCCTCCAGTTAGGTCTCTGTGGAGGGCTCTGTTATCACTGGATGCTGGCTGGGCCCACCACTGCGATCAGACTGGTTGCTGCCTAAAGGTAGGGACTATGTTGTTTATCTTCGAATGTCCTGGACCAAGCACAGTGCCTGACCACAGGCATTCAATGAATGCGTGTTGAATGGAGGAATAGTTTCCCAACATCAGGAACACGCAGTAATGGCTAACATTCTCTCACGTTCATTTAGCTCAGAGTTCTTTCTTGGTCTTGCTAATGTTCTGGTGTCAGGCGAAGGTGGCAGTCCCCCTGGGAAATGGAACGCGTGTACGCCTGCCGTCTCAATTCCCAGCGACAGTTGGGGAGGTGTTGTGGCTTCACTGTTAAGACTGCTTCCCTGGACGTAATATTGATAATTAATAAGATACCTCTTTTAAAGAGGCAGCATTTCTAGCCTGCAAAGTGGATTTTCTTTGTACTTGTTTTGTTTTGGCAGATGCTTGCTCAGAAATCTGGCAATATTATCAACATGTCCTCTGTGGCTTCCAGCATCAAAGGTAGGTCCGTCTCCCTCTGAGGACCAGATTCTTATGCGCACACGCCAGTAAGTGCTATGGGTTTGGGAATAAACATAGCAGAGATCGTTAAATTCACACATAATTTCAAAACTGCTTTTTAAAAAATTAGTATTAAGTTCCTTAGCCATTAGACCTTTCACTTTAAATGTAAGCCAGTGATAAAATTAAATAAAAATTTGGGTTTTTTTTTTTGGCCTTCTCTAATGCCTTCTAGTGGATATGAAAATGAACATTGAACTAGAGAAGTAAACATTTGTCATGTAATTAGTTAAGAATAATGTATTGTGTACCCACCATATGCCCCTAGCCCCAAAAGAATTCACAATCCAAAACGGGGAGCAAGGCAGGCAAACATCTTCTTCCACGGCGCGACAGTATCGTAACTTAGGTTTGTACAAAGAGCTGTCACCACAGGGAAAGTACCTCTGCCCGTGGGTTTCTGGAACGCTTCACTAAGACAATCGATCTGGGCCATGAGTGAGAAACAAAGTTGGAAAACCAGGACAGCAGTGCAAAGTGTAGATAATGTCACAGTCTGGCACAGATGGATTTGTGAGTTTAAAATGAAATAGCTACTGCTGAGGTAACAGTCCTTCTCATTGCAAGGATATACACATTAAGCATGCATAAGAGCGGAGTGTAAAGAAGTGCCTAGGCCTCTTGTTTTATTGTTTTGTTTTGTTCTTAACTCTTACTTTATTTCAGAATCTGCCTAGGGATTATACCAACCAAGGGATGAAAAACTAAGACTACTGATGTTAATTAACTAAGTGCAAGCATTTCAACACCCAACTCTCAATTAAGTTGTGCCTCTAGTGATCTATTTTCCTAGATTCTGAAACTGGCCCTATTACAGGAGAAAACCTGATATCAATTTTTTTAAAAGGGGAGGAAGTTGGGAGGAAGCATGAAATGGCTACTGGGGAAACTTATTTGTGTTAACTTTGTAAAGGACACTATGTTTTTGATTCCTTCAATTGCCGAACCTTGCCTTCACCCTCAGGAGTCGTGAACAGGTGCGTGTACAGCACAACCAAGGCGGCTGTGATTGGCCTCACGAAGTCTGTGGCTGCAGATTTCATCCAGCAGGGCATCCGGTGCAACTGCGTGTGCCCAGGTGGGTTAGGCAGTGTCGGCCTGTGAACTCGTCCCTTCTGACATCAAGTTTGCCATGTGAAAGATACCTACATAAGCTTTTTTACCGCATTTTATGGTATTTCTGTCACTGGGAAATGTTCCAAAGAAAAAGGATCTGGGCTTATTAAGATATAACCGTCCAGCTGTAAGTTGGGAAGGAAATCCTAAGTCATTAGGAATGAGCCACAGATGCAAAGGTTTGCTACTCACGTATGTGGGACAATTCAGAATCAAGTAGCTAAGAGACATGATTGGCCAGGGTGTGGTGTTTTGGAAGCAGACCAGGGATGACCTCCTCAGGGGAAAGATGGAAAGTAGACCATGCTCGCAGGACAGCAGGGAGAGAGCAACAGGAGCTTCCCAGAACACAGTACTAGAGTCATGTAAACCACCTGGGGTGGCCGGTAAATAAAAAGGAGCCATTGACCTTCCTTTATGCTTTAAAAAGGGGGTCAGCAAACTGTGGCCTGTGGGCCAAATGTGGGCCACTACCTGTTTTGTAAATAAAGTTTTTTTTTTTTTTATTTCAGCAAATTATGGGTGTACATACGTTTAGGTTACGTGTGTTGCCCTTGGTTCCCCCCCCCCCACCGAAGTCCGTGTTTCAAATATGTCCATCCTTCAGGTAGTGCG